TCATTATCGTTGGTTGATATTGCTGTCTTGCTAGTTTTCTTTTTTCCAATCTTTGCCGTATCAGAAACTAGAATGCAAAGCATAGGTTACATTATACTGCCATTTAAGGCGACGTTTCACTCTCTTTATAAGTTTGAAATTCTCCAATTAATGATAGATACTTCGTTTTTGCAGGTTTTCTGGTAACCTCAGAATATAGAAAACAATGATTTTTTGTACTTGTATCAACATATCAGGCTTTTTGCATTAAAGAAGATAATCTCCCTCGTTTTAAGATATGTTGTAGAGCTAGTGCGTACTATGAAATTTTCCATAGAAGATGTTTGCTCCCGAAATTATCGAGTTTGGCTCCTAACTTTTTCTAATTTAGAACTAGCTGAATAAAACTTGTGCAGACAATTTTGGAGTATATATAACTCAATATACTTTAAAGATATAAAAAATTACAGAGATCGAACCCGTTAAGCTGAACATTTATTCACCTGTTCTAACATTGGATAAGGCTCTGAATGTTTCTGTTTTCATTTTTTTTGCGTTGGTTTTTACAATTTTAGATTTCTTTTTGGTTTTTGATACGAGACGTACTAAATTATGAAAATATTTAGAGCATAAAAAGCAATTCTAAGAAACCAATACGGATAAATTACTGACTTACATGATCACCATGTTCATTTGCCTGATTTTCAATATGTCTCTTTTTCGGTTTAATAGGTCTGACTGTTTTAGGTCGACGATGAATAACTATAAAAAACATAAACAGCTTAGTGGTTAAATTAAAGCGAGAAAACACTACTTACATGCTTCAATTCGTCTGAATCATTTTCACTATCATTATATTCAAACTGTGATGTTTCACACAAAATTGCCTTACGTTTTGCTTCACATTGAGCCTTCGTGCTTGAAATCAATCTTATAGTTATTTAACTAGCAACAAAGCACACGTTAAGTTTTTCTTTACTAACTGCTATAAATTTCAGATTTTGATGATGGCGATAGTTAATAAGCGTAAAATCTGTGTGTGATGTAATACATTCAACGGCTGGAGCTAAAAGTAGTTCACCATTATGTAATTCAAGTAAGTACAATTGTTGATTTGTTCTTGTTGTACCATGACTGTAAGTAGAAGAATGCATCTGAAACGATCAGTATTGCATTAATCGTGTTCTACTTCACATAATATTTTCGTTATAAGATGTTTATGTTGGAATGGCATTATTACACACTTTCTTTTTATTTCATTTACACTAATAATTTCATACGATGATTGACTGAGATCAACTAGATCGTAATACTTATCAAGAAAGTCATGAACTTCATCTCCCATTACACCATTTCTATTTGTCCTAAAGTTTTCATCCCCACAACGGAACATTTTTACAAACGCATACATCACAATTATTGTATTCAAAATATAAAATAACACTTGCATAACATTTTTTTGTATACATACAATTATCGTTCTTGATAGATACAACAAAACTTATTCGTGTTTTTAGACGTTGATAGATTAATGAATGGAACTGCATTAGACCACGGCGATAACGTGCAAAACCCGGTAAATTTGAAAATGTTTTATTAGTTCTTTGTTCAAACGACATTTTTAAATGAGGAGTAAATTTAGCAAGTGTTTCTCGATTTATCAGTGTCGACTGATCTAATTTTTGTTTTACAAAAATATCTTCAACTGATAACGCTTCATTATTTTCTTCATCTATGGAATGCGTCATTAAGTATTGTGAAAAAATATTATATGCAATATGACGCGTGCTAGTTCGAAGTTTTTTGAGGTATCCAAGGGACGATTCATCAGCAAAACAGCCACTAGCGAACAATGCTGAATGGTTATCAACTTGGTTTGGTAAATATTTTACGGCATGCAATGAAAATAACTGATTATCTTGTCCATATATTGCTGAATATTCAGCACGATAAGCATTTAAAAATTTTTGAGAAAAAACAAACAGGCAAATCGGCTTTATTCAATTGTAGGCGTATATTGAATCGATACTCATCACCTTCATATTGAACCATTAAACCATTCGTTTTTAAACTTACTAATGTTTTTACCAAATCTTCAAGTAACATATTGAGATCTGGATCTTTACATGAGTGTGCAATACATAATAATAATTTATTTTTGGCGTAGTCACGCAATGATGGCAGTATCTCCAACAGTGTACCAGATATTACATAAAATGATGTGTGTTTCGTAGATAAGACAGGAATAGTATCTTGATGTAACATTATTGTTAAATGATTTTCGTTAGGCTTGAAATCTCTCTTATATATTTTTGAATTAGTGATATCACATGGGAGATAAGTTTTTACTTGATGAGGCCAATTTAAAATAAGTGGCATATTTCGTTTCACAACATGAACTACTGTATCAGATACACCGGCATTGCAGATTTCTGTAACAGTGTCAGGTGTACGAAGTTGACCACTGAATGGACATTGCTTAGAACATCTTTCACAATAAGTGACCTACATTCACTACGTTTCATAAATTCATCCAATACGTTTCATATTTAAATGCACCTGATCGATTAAGGTATTTATTTAAACGTTTATTGTGAAGTTTATTTTCTGTTGGTAAAAATTTGTTTAACAATTTTACGAGCAATCGTCGATGAGTTTGAGATAAATTTGTCAACAATACAAATCGTTTTATTTCTTTATAAGCATCGGATACCGTAATTGGGGCTGATGGATATAGAAAAACTTCAGGTTCATCGTGTTCTTCGTCATCAGTTGCATTAAGACCAATATCAGCGTCGACAGCATTTCCCCCACCAATAACCCATCCATCCTCCTCCACTCGCCCTTCTCCTTCGGTCTCATCCTCTTGGCCGGTTTCAAAACATGAATTTTCTTCCATCATTAGTAGAGGTGAATCATCAGTCCTCGTCAAACAAGGATTATCATATTCTACATTAACTTTTTCGCGATAACGAGCAACTTTTCTTCGATCTATACTATCAATATCATCGTTACTGGAATTACTCAGGGTACGATTACGCTGTTCAAACGCCATTTGTAGAGTAGTAAATGGATCCATCTGTACAGGATTCAATATAAATCAAGGTGCTGTGCAAATTAGCTCTTAAAAGTCATTTGCTACTTTTTCTTCCTTGTAGTAGATTACAATAGTCATTGTTTTTCTTTTGTACAAAAAATAACAAAAAGATCGTTCATCGTTTTATACTGGTTGAACGATCAAGTGGGACTTTCAAGCTGAAAAGCTAAAAGGTTTACAGATCTTTTTATATGAACTGTATGGTTTTCTTACACAATGCTAAACACGCGTGTCACATGACGTCTTACTTGGCGTGGCCACTAACGCGTGGCCACGCCGTGGGTGAGTCAATTCATATACTTGCAGTGGCCACGCCATGGATAAACGTACGGACACATCACGTCATACATGGCCACTCCGTGTCAGGTATGGCCACGCCAAGGATAGAGCGTGTGAGTGGACCTGGATAATGGCTATGATATAGTATCTGTACACTATAAAAGAAGCAGAAATGCTTCTAATCTAGGCACTTCGCCCCAGTGGCGGCGCGAGAGTTCCAGAGCATGGGGGGTATGTCGTAAAACCGGAGTAAATCAGAACAAAAAATTTTTAAAGTATGGGGGGTGCCCCCATACTTCATAAATTCTTAACTGACAATCGTTTCACTGCCCAGGTTCAAGGATTAGATAACAAGATCTTGGAAGATCTTACACGATCATATACGATCTTGGGTGATCGTATAATAAGAAATCATAAGATTTCAAAAGATCTTATCAATTCTTATCAATTTCCTATAAGATCTTACAAGATTTCATATGACATCTTGTAGCAAGATTCTTA